GTTGAGATGCACACTACTAATACTGCTAAGTCAATCCTGGAGAGATAAACATTCAGATCAGAAATCTAACCACTTCAGACACTGAATAGCTAAGTTTCCCTATAAGTGTATTAAAATCTGCAATTTAATACAACTCCAGAAATAAAAAGGAGGGAAGAAAACGATACATTAAGCATAACTGAAAGGGTTCCCCAGTACAAGAAAGACACTGAGGCACTGGAGCAACTCAGGAGGAGGGCCACCAAGGGGACTGGAGCACTTGCCCTGTGAGGAGAGGACAAGGGAACTGGGTTTGTTCAGCTTGCAGAAGAGAACGCTCAGGGAAGATCTTACTGCTGTCTGCAAATGTCTAATGGAAAGGTGATGGAAGTCTGGCTCCAACTGCAACATTATCTTCACCATTTTTTTAAAATTCAAACAAATGGAACTTTAAATATCCATTGTGCCATTTATACAATTTTTTAAATTATACTACCGTTCCTGATGATCAGAAGCTGCAGTTGCTTATGTTTAAAATAGGTTCTATTAGACCTTGCTTTTACTTACTCTGTCTTTTAATTACCCAAGTTCTGATCTCTAAGATATCACCTTGAGTCACCAAAACAACACTCAGCCAAAGATGATAAAAACATCAAGAACTCAATACTCCAAAGAAACACAAGACGTTGTTTGGCTTATATGAAACAAAGTGATCAATTTAGGAGAACATGAAATAAAAGCAGGTCTTAGCTTCCTTAAAAGAAAAGTCAGGCTCACTTTCTCCATATAGTATCAGTAAGCACCAAAAAGAGACTCTTCATCTAATCTGCTTTTAAAACTAGGACCAAGAACAGCTGCAACATTCTTATTCCTCTATAAATATACTTCAGTTTATCAGCTCCTTAGGAAATTTTTTCTTCGACTGAATTATACCCACAAGCATCCTCTAAAAACAGTGAGAATTTGTATCTCCCATTCTGTCTATATATTTGTACTAGAAGAAACCAGAATGAATGATGAGACGTTGGAGGATTAGATTAGAACTGAAAGTGTGTTCATTTTCTCTGTTACCTCTCTGCAAGAACTTCCAAAGGACTAGCTCCGAGTGACCAACTTCGTACCATCCAAGCAGAGTCCATTGCAGCCAAAAATCCCCTGGCTATTCCAGTTCCCATCGGCCAAAATGGCTAATATTATAGTTTACAAAAAAAAGCAGAGAAAGGAAAAACATTAGTTAGGGAAAATTTTAAACAAATATCACAAATACATTCAGACGGTAATCTGCTGGGAAATTATAGCTCAGTAATTAGCTTAAAGCTCCACTCCCACTGGGCTAGAGGAAGCCAGATGTATGGTGAATTGCCCATGAGCTCCCCCAAAGCCAGTGTTCCTCTATCTCCAACAACAATTCACAGCCAGAAGCAACTTAACAGCTTCTTTTCAAGACTGTACTTTTTAACCAACTACAAAATGCTAATTATTAACAGGCCTACAGCAGGTTATATAGAGAGTCTAATTGTCCCAATAAGCAGATGGAACAGACATAACTTCAGAAAAAAATCTCTGCACACATTTTCTTAAGCAAGATCATTGCCATCCTAAATACTCTGTTTTCCCAACACTCCTACCCTTCCTTCAAACCTCCCAGTTTATTGTATAATAAACAGCAGTTTTCCTTACAGTAACTATCTTATAGGCAGTGCATTATTTCGGTGATGGGTGCAACGCCCTGTGCTTTTGCTTCAATTTACTGTTTACACATGACAAGTTTAAAACACAAACCTCTAAGAGACTGTCCCCAACCAGTGCCACAAGTAACTGGTGGCCATTCTGCTCTCGCACCAGGGCTGCGTTCTCTGATGCATACATGCACGTGAAGTCAAACATGGCCACATCTGGCTGACCATAGTGATTGATGGCAAAGTCCAGTGATGGCAGCTGCTGATTAGTGGAGAAGTCAGCTGCTTCTCTGGCATAGTTTAGCAGAGCCTCCTGGTCCACATTCTCCCGTGAGAGTAATAACTCTGTGTCCGCATAATCCTGCCAAAAAGAGAAAATTAAAAGTGAAATAGCCAAATCCACAAGTTTATTTTAAGACTGGTATATACAACAGTTGGCATTAAAACTCCTACAAATCAACTGATATAGGTTTACCCTCTAACTTCTTTCATTCTTATCTGTGTTTATGCTTCCAAGAGAAAATCTGGAAATCTTTTACTGCAAACGGAAATCAGTCCTCCTAGCATTTCTGACTGTGAAAGAGCTAAGAAACTTCTGAGCATTTCTCTTCACACACCTCAGGCAAAAGTCACAAGACCCCAATCCTTATTTATTCATTTGTGGCCAAACTACTTTTAAATCAGCTTCTGTCAGAAGAAGATGTATTTCCAATACTTTCTTCACTCCCTGCTGTTTCATTCCCATAAAATGAGGGAAGCTCAACTAATCTATCAAAGGTTCTTTAAGCATATTTTATCTTAACATGAAAGAAACCCCTAAATCTACAAAGGAATACAAATTTGGAGAGGATAGATCTTGTAACACTCTTCCGATAGCCCAAAATACTTCAGAAGGGTATTAACCACATATATTTGTGGTCTAAAATACACCTGTAGAAAAACATTATGTGGTGAAAGAAGAGAGTGTTTCCCTTCTTTCAGCATACTGAAAGCAAATTGTACCAAAATCTTCATTTATAGAGAGTATAGGAAAAGTTAATACCCACATGCCGTATCACTCCTTTTTCCAGCAAGCTCTGTTTTTTGGCAGTCATGACAAAGTAGTGTGTATCATCTTTGTAGTAGACAATGTTCTCCAAGTCAATACCTTGTAACAGAACAAAAGACATGGCAGTGAAGGAACAAGTTACATGTTACGTGGAACACAAGAGCTCTATGGGAAGAAAGTAAATTGAAACTACGTGGTTAGAAAGCCTTAGAGAGAGAATGCCAAGCAGCTTTCTCCCATGCTTTTGATGACTTTAAGATATGAATCTTTAACAAAGCCACAAACAGCACATTTCACCTACCTCTTTTTAAAAATATATTTATCACCACTCTAAGGTTTGCATTCAGTTGTGGAGCGCAGGAAACTGAACTCAGGATTCAGACTTTTCCTATTTAGGGCTCAGATTTCCTGAAAACCTTCAGGGAAATAAGTTCACCACTTCTGAACAAAAACGACACACATCTGAATGACACATCTGCTTTGTGCAGCTGTATAGAACAGCTGTAAAAATGGGGAAGTCAGATTTCAAAGAGAGACAGCAATGACTGACTTCCTTGCGCAAGACGTTCATTTATTGATTAAACATGATTCCTGAGTTACAAAGTTGTAATAATAAAGACAAATAGTTTTCACTGTAAACCTGAATTGTTGGCAAACCTGTGGCTTCTCGTAGATCCTGGAAGAACTTCTGGTTGAATATGAAGGCCACACCGCTGATCTCTTCTACTTTGGCTTCAGCTGTGGTGTTGCGATTGATGAAGTTTGCTGTGATAGCAATTGCTAGTTTACCACGGAACTCTTTTCGGCGAAACCCTACGGGAAGGATAAAGTAGCAACACTGAAAAAAAGAGCATTCCTTCAGAGAAGGCTCAGCATGCCATAGATAGGTGCCCTCACAAAATAAAGAGAGAATGGATCTGATGAATTACAAACTCCTCCACAGAGAAAGTAACAATTGCTTCATCAGAAAAATAAAAGCTCTTGTTTAGGGGAAAAGCTCACCTTCTTTTCCAAAAATTGCAACTTGCATCAAAAATATTAAGATAGAATTCTCTACTACACAGACTAATATTCAACAGTTCAATTCCTACTCCCAAAGGTAAGAGCTACAACACTACTCAAACTAAAGAAAAAATGTAGGAAAAATTATCCAGGTCAAAACACCTAATTCCATTGCTAGTGGACAGGAAGAGGAAAAAGATGACCCACGTCTTTCATACAAATGGATTTTTACATGGACTTTTAATCTCCCCTTTCACTAGTCAAATGTCTTGCCAGATTTTGATTGGGATGTTAAAGGCCATTTTTGTTCTAACTAATTTAAGAGTAAGTTCTATTTGAAAGCAAATTATGGACACACCATTACCTTCTAAGGTGTTCCTCCTGCCATCCCCTCCGATGATTACTTCAAACTCATACTCAGATACTGGATGGGTTTTTGGGTGGACCAATGCACGCCAACCTATTCCTGTTGATAAATTCCAAGTTAATGACAATATAAACAGTGCTCATAATAGAACAAATACATAAAACTACTTCTTACTATCCATAATCCCTTCCTCACACGGTCAGTAAAGATACACTGCAGGACAGCTATATTGTTGACAGTGGCTGACTTGCACAGCCACTCTGTGTGAATAAGAGGCAGAGACAGCTCTGGTAAAACCACCTGACTATTACCTTTAAGGATCACTACAACCTTTATAGCTTCTCTACTACCTATTCAATTAATAGGATGCCAAAAAACAAGTAAGCCACCCTCTCCCATGGCAATCAGAGAACAGGTTTCACAAAGATACAAAAAGCTAACACAGATCATTCACTGATATAAATATCTTCAGTGAATGCAAGGAAAGGAGTTGTTTTAAAAAGGTATCTTCTGAGTGTAATAGGTTTAAATATTTTAGAAGCAATTACAATCTACTGTGTAGTGGTCTATTTCCATGTAGTACTTCAGGTGATTCTTTTCTGTATAGTAACTAATTTGGATTTGTCACTAGAAAGAATAAATCCTACTAAAAATTCAAGCAAAAGTGTATTAATAATTACTTTCATTAATGGAGCAGGAGGAAAGGACTTAAGAGTCATAAGTAGGGTTAAGGAGCAGGAGTCTGCGTATCCTACCATAACTTCCCCTTTCTCTACTACCCGTTTCAATGCTACTTGCTTTCATTCTCCTGGTCCTCTGGAGGGTAAACAAGCCCCTGAAATTCCACATTGACATGGATCTCTATTCCCAAGATCAAGGCAACCTTCAAAAGGATAAGCTGGAGCTGACGGATACCTGCAAAAAAGCAGATGATAAATAAAAGAAAAAGAAAAAAGCACAAGTGCCCATGTGTCTCTGACATTACTGATAAACTGATTTGAAGGCCAGCTGCTACTTTCTTTTTCCCCACTGTGTTCCCAGCATTTCATCCAGGCAGCACTAGTGTGTAATATCACGGCATGCCAAGAAACTTCTAAAGCTCAAACTCCATCCCTTTTCAAAGAATAAAAAGTAAGTAATTTTTTTATGTTTCAGTCCCCAAATCAGCAACAAGGGAAACAACCAGAACGTGCACTGCAGGAGAGGGAGGGAAGAGAGCACAAGCAGGACTGCACTTTTGTCATAGATGGCAACTAGCCATCTGACCAGCCTAGCTGTAATACTGAACTGCACCTTCATTCTAACACCTTTGGGTTAGTGAGGGCAGAGTAAGTTCCTCACCACCTCTTTCCTCTTCAGTTAATGTAGGTAGTGGGTATGAAAATGACAGTGTGCAAACTCTATTAGTTTGAAGGAAGACACCTTACTTTCATATTTCAGATACTGAAATGAAAAAATGCTCCACCTAAACACTAAATTTCAGCTGTGCTGAGATACAAAAGAAGACAACATGCATAAAGTACTAGAAGAATAAAAATGACAAGAAATTGAAGGGAAAAAGCAATCTGCAAGACTGACGTTCCAAAGACCTTCCAGTTTTACCATTCATTGCCAGAGAGAGAGAGAGACAGAGAGAGAGAAAGGCAGTTTTTGCTTTGGACAAGAAGCCAAATCTTATCTACTGTGTTTGTGCCACTTTATACTTCCCGCTTATGCCCACTGGAGAACAGTCTGGTGGGCAAAACCTGGCTGTGCTATGTCCAGTAAATTTTTTAAAAAAGAAAAACTGAAAAATAATAACTCCTGCTCCACCAAAGCATTCAGCTTTCAAAGGAGACTGATTTCTCAGAATTTGAGAATCATCAAAATTATTCTCAATTTTAATATGTAAACCTCTATTTAATCAAAACTTATTCATAGGCTGACAGTGTTCTTGAAAGTATCTTCATTGCTCTTCCAAAAATTAACAAAGCCAAAATTGTTCCTCCTTTTTCCAGATCAACATTCACAAGAATGTTCAAAAGCATTCAGTAATTTTTCTTTTTTACAAGTCGCTTACAATGCTCATTGTATATGAATATTGTAAATATGAAAATTATCCATTAACAAAGAAGGTTTGAACCTTAAATGTACTTTTCAGTTTATGAAAAAGATATGCATTGGAAACTAATAGGTGTAAAAGAGGATAGATATGTATTGCATGTGTGATAATCTCATGGCACAATGTATTTCTTTCACATCTAGGTCTAGCCTGAAACGCACTATGCAAAGGTAATGCTGAATTGTACCGTAAGGACTCAAGAGCAGTGATTGGTGTAGGCTGAATTTTAATGTTACCCCCATGCCCTCACCCACCTTTCCCCTATGAAGAACAAGTGCTGCTGTGTCTAGCAGCAGCTGTACTTACTGATATGGTCTATGGATCCTGCACAGAATTTGCCGTAAAACTTTTTGGCGCCAAGACCCCTCAAGTCATGTATGGTGAATGGCCACAAATGCAGCACATTATTGCGGGAAAAGGCATCCCTCTTTTCTATGACCACCACCTTGGCTCCTAGGAATGATAGGTCGATGGCTGTACGAAGGCCACAGGGTCCAGCCCCAATTATCAGACACTGCAAAACAACCAGCACAGAGTAACTTTACAGTCCTAGGAGGAAAAAGGTATTTTCACCACAGCTTCCAAGCATCCCATGGCTCTTAGGAGTAAGTGCTCTTTGTCTGCAACATAAGCCGAAATTTCAGATCAGTCTTTCTATTGTTCCCTGCCATGCTCTGCCACTGATACGTTAAAGCAGTTACTACAACCTGAAAACAAAGCATATCACAGAGCAGTGAAAAGTTTGCAGAAGCAGGCAAGTCACCTGCCTCTTCTAATAAGAAGAGATGCCAAGGCATACTCTCCAAGCTATGTAATCACCTGGAGAACAGCATTATTTCTGAAGGCTTCTCCCCCTCACTCCATCCATGTGCTTTTTTTGGGTTTTTTTGTGGGTTTTTTTTGTTTGTTTTTTGTTTTTTAAAAAGTGATGTAGAGTTTTCCTCATCTTCAAAAGCCTGAGCTGGCCTTTCTTGAGAAAATCTTCAGTAACACCAAAAACTCATCATCATCACTGAGTAGCATAGCAATGGCTAAGGCAGATAAATACAAGAGATGCTAGTGTTTTTATAAACGTCATCGTTTAGAGTAGCACAGACAGTAGTCAAGTCAGAGCACTCTAACTTATGCCTATGCTGGTGCTTCTACTATTGCAGCAAAGGAAACTTCAGGGAAGTAAATATAATGTAAATATGAACTTTGTGTGACTAGACAACTTTTATCAAAACACGTTTTCTCCAAGCTAACCTTTGACATATCAAAGGTCTTTCATCTTCTCGTATCTTTTTCCACTCTACTCACAAACACTATCAGAGACTAATAAACAACTTGAGAATGTAAAACACTTGCATATCTAGTGTTGGAAGTACTTTCAGAGAAACAAATGATACAGCAAGATCATTTCTTTTAAGATTAAAAACCCAAGATAGTCAGCTGAAACTTCTTACCCACAGAAACTGAGGTCCACAAAGAAAGCTGGCATCGTTATGTGCGTTCACAGGAATATAGTACACAGTCCATTTTGCCCTATCATTTTTGTACTTTGATTTCTATTGAGTATAAACAAGACCCACAGAATAAATGATACAGCAAGATCATTTCTTTTAAGATTAAAAACCCAAGATAGTCAGCTGAAACTTCTTACCCACAGAAAAACTGAGGTCCAAAGAAAGCTGGCATCGTTATGTGCGTTCACAGGAATATAGTACACAGTCCATTTTGCCCCCTCATTTTTGTACTTTGATTTCTATTGAGTATAAACCAGACCCACAGAATAAAGACCTTGCTACAGTGGTGACTGCTACTGCCATATGAGTATTTTCCAGATCCTTACATACCCTTATGGCTGGACAACAAAACCCTTTGAGAAATTCTTGAGTATGCTAAAACTTAACCAGAACCCAACGTTCTGATAAACAGCCTATCCCAAAGCAAAGCTCTTTGTTCTTTGGTCATCCCCATATGCCAATTTTTACAGGTTGCCACATTTTCACCAATGATTCACTGGGGCATAAATTCTGGAAGTGATGTGAAACTGCAAATATAAAGCCTGAATGATGAATAGAACAGTACAAGATACAGCAGTGATGACGTAACAACTGACATCAAATTCAAAGACTACTGTATAAGATAAGAAGTCACATAAATCTGAGGGCAGAGATCCAAGTCTAGAGGAAAGGGGAGGAAAGAATAACAGCACTGCTTCTTTAGTAGCTTCAGGAACCTAAAGGCATATGGGAGAAAAGGCAAGCCCAACCACTGAGCTATTAAATTCCAAAATAGACTTGTATGTTGAACAGGTGACCAACTTGCCATTTGTTAAAAAGGATAATCAATTAGGATCTAATATATTCCAGAGGGTAGAGATCAAGGGCTCAATGTCCAGATGGTGATCGGTGATGAGTGGTGTCCCGCAGGGGTCCGTATTGGGACCGGTACTGTTTAATATCTTCATCAGTGACATGGACAGTGGGATCGAGAGCACCCTCAGCAAGTTTGCAGATGACACCAAGCTGAGTGGTGTCGTTGACATGCCAGAGGGATGGGATGCCATCCAGAGGGACCTGGACAAGCTGGAGAAGTGGGCCCATGTGAACCTCATGAGGTTCAACAAGGCCAAGTGCAAGGTCCTGCACCTGGGTCAGGGCAACCCC